ACGCCTGTTACTTACATCTTTTAAGCATAGATAAATGTATGCATAATTTTATATTCATTCTAGGTACTATGGTACATTAATAATAATAATACACACACACTATTACCACCTTATCATTCTTCTTGTCTCTATCATATTCCCTCACTAATAAAACAGAGAGCCAAACCTCAGTAGTCAACTATAATAATAATAATAATAATAATAATAATAATAATAATAATAATAATAATAATAATAATAATAATAATAATAGCAATAATAGTAATATAATGGTAGCTGTACAAGAATTGCTATTGTATTAACTGACTGGTATATTGATTCTATCAGTGAGCACTTCACCTTGAAGGCTAGACCGCTGATCAAAAGCTTCCTTTGCTAACTAAAATAAATAAAATAAAAACCGGAAGTAACAATCATATTTATTCATTAATCATTATAGTACAGTATTATACCTGTGCAAACAGTTCTTCATTGAAGAGCACATTTTGAGCTGATTTAAGTATCTGCTCCCATGGAGTTAACGTCAACTGTTGCTTATGAAGCTCAATGAAACAAGACGGCAACAAAGAATCAAGAGAAACAACCTCTGGAACAAAAACCACATTAACATGTACACATAGATGACATGTACAATCATGCATAGGCGGCTGCAGGATTTCACTGCAAGTAGGGCAAAGGTGTGGCTGAAAGTGGGAGTGGTCAAAAAGTAGGTGTGGTTATGACCACACCCACATGTCTTGTTCTTGAGTTTTAAGACTGTTAAGAGCTCTATTTCAGCATTTTGTGAAAAAAATCAAGCTAAAAAAGGCTCTGAAATTCTCAATCAAGAGTTACTCTGCCATTCTTGTGTTCAAGAGGAGAAAATTCAGTACCTAAAAGACCTCTATCAATGATAGAGTATCAGTAGCTAGGTGATTTAGCTGTTGAATGAGTCCTAGCTGACTAATAATGAAGCTGCTATTGTGATGGAGTCAGTTATTCTAGCTGCAGCCTGTTTACTGTAGATTATGCCTTCCTGAAGTGGCCATAGATATGGACCTATGAAGTGGCTGACTGGCTTCCTGTGATTAAACCATGTAGTTAGCAGCTTATTCTCCATTAATTATCACTTTGTTGAGCAAAATAATATAGTTTTTGTCATTAAAATAGCTATATTCCATGTAATAACTACTACATAATTATTAATTAACTGCTAATTATGATGATGTCATTTTCCAGTAAGAAATTCTAGTAGGGCATTGCCCTCATTGCCTGCCCCTGCAGCCGCCTATGCAATCATGTGATAGTCATGTGACATACCATTACC